AAAACTGGCCTGAGGGCCGCAGACTAAAATCACCCACCTTTGGCTTGGTCACATCACTTGCTGCCCAGTAGGCCAACTGAGCTCTCTCTTTGTTGGGTGTTGTTGTTGTTAAGTGCCGTCGAGTCGCAGGCAACTCATAGCGACCCCTCATAGTGACCCTATGAAGGAGAGTCCTCGATGCTTGGGTGCCTTTCATCCTCTCTCCAGGTTCATAGGGTTTCCAGAGGCAAGTTATTATGGAAGTGGATGCCACTCCTCCTTCCTTTGTTGGGTAGTGAGCATGAATTTCCCACACAAAAGGCAAGAATGCTATCAAAGAACCCCAATGCCTCACTTACTGGTTGTTGTTATTGTTAATTGCTATTGAGTATTCCAACTCATAGCAACCCCAATATACAGAGTTCCTCTTCCCAGAGTTTCTAAAACTGTGGACCCATCAGCAGCCCACCCCTCTAGGGAGCTCTGGTAGCCTAGTGGTAAGAAACGGCACCGCAATCCCAGAAGTCCATCCCCTGCCTGCTGTTCTGATTCGCTGCTGTCAAGCCAACTCGGACTGACATGCATGAGAGATCACAACACTGCCTGTTCCTGCGGCATCATCGCAGTGCTGGGCACGAGCTCATCGCTGCAATCACCATGTCAATCCGTCACCTTCTCTGTTGTTGTTGTCACGTGCCCATTGAGACAAGCGTGATTCATAGCAGCCCTGTGAACAACAGACCTGAACCCGGTCCTACCCTGTGCTGCCTTCATCTTCTCTTCCATACTTGCGCCCATTGCTGCAGTCACAGTGTCAATCCGTTTGGTTGAAGGTCTTTCTCTCACTGACCCCTCCACCTTTCCACATACGAGGTCTCTTTCCAAGGAAGAGCCTTACCTAATATCTTATAATCATAGAATACTGTCTACTTTGTTGCTTTGTGGGTAAAGTGGGTCACTGGACAGTGATAACACAGTGTCATTTCTGACCAAGGCTAAAGGTGAGATGAGTTCATCCAAGGTCTTTAGAAAGAAGATTCCTACATCTCCAGGGGTGTTTGGTGTTACCACTTCAGACTAACACAGAGTAAGTGAAAACTATTTGCCTAGAGACTTAACTCCTGCCCACTTATTGATGTGGGAGACACAGAGAGAGAAAATGATATTAGTTAATATGAAACTGCCTTGTTTTGAACACATCCAAAAATAGCTAAGAAAAAAACCCCCCTATCTTCACTAATAAAGCAGAGTAGATCTGAAACCTTCACGCTTGGAAGAACACAAATGATCTTATTATCTTGAGCATCTTGATGGCAACTATAAAAATTCATCTTTATTTGACTTTCAGGCAAAATATAAAATAGTAATACTACCTTGGGTTTAATTCTCTGACTGTATTCTGCAAGCCAAAATCCTGGCCCAAAGAATCTGAGGCAAAGCTAAAAATGCTCTTGAAGATTAACCCTTCTCTGTTCAGGACTGTTTTATGTCTCTTACACGAGTTACTGCTTTTACTTACAACAGCCCTGAAAGGAAGACACTATTTAGCCAAACTTACAAACAATGCATAGGGAAGTTACACAGTATACACTGTCCAATGTCAGCGACTAGGGGAGAGTAGAGACTAGGCAGGTGTTACAAGCTAGGTTGTTAGCAAAAAGATCAGGACCAGGGATCCACCCGTCACTCTGTAGGAGAAGAAGGAGGCAATCTGCTCCTCTTACGATTTATAGCCTAGGAAATGTAATGACAGCAGTGGGTTGGGTTTTAGGGTCTCTCTGAGTGCCCCTCCCTGTTCACTGCATTTCACCATGCTATTGGAGAAGTATGATACTTAGAATAGAATCTTGACCTCTTTCTGACCACCCAAACTCAAGTTTGAACCATCCCCTACAAAGCACAGTAAGTATGATTTTCAATAGTATTCAGAGCAAGAACTTTTCTCTAAATGTGTAAATATTTTTGGTCCCTACAATATCAAGGGCACAAGACTTTGTGGTGAGAGTTGTAGTTATTATAACCATCTAACTGTTGGAGTTCTTGGATGAAATATCCCAAAGGTCGAGCCATAAAGGGGTCATAAAAAGTAATGGAATAAAACTCTTTCATTTTCCAACTTGGTACTTTATTACATTTAGCCAAAGACTATTGAAAAGTTTCTGAAATTTATCTCTTCAATATAGCCACACTTTTATTCCACCAGTCTTTCTTCTGAGAGACTTCAGGAGCTCTGCACATCCACCCATCCCCTCTACCCTGTTAAACACTATGCAGGTAGTGACCTTTACAAATTTGAAGCACAATTCTACTGCACACACATAATATGTTGTTGTTGTTGACTGTCTAGTAAATTCTGATTCAGAGTGGTCCCGTGGGACAGAGTAGAACTGACCGATAGGGATTTCTAGGCTGTAAACTTCCCAGACTGTCAGGGTTTTCTCCCAGAGAGAGAGCTACAAAACCAAACAAAGCATGACAAACCAAAAAAACCCATTGCCGTTGAATACGTTGTGACTCAAAGTGACCCTCCATTGCTTTTCTCAGCCTTTAAATGTGTGCGCATGTAGACAGCCTGTTTTTCTTCTAGAGAGTAGTAGGTAGAGTTGAACTGCTGATCTTCCAACAGTAAAGCACGTAGCAACAACATATAGAGATTTTATTGGTTGTAATAAATAGCAAACAATTCCTGAGATTCAAAGTTTGATTTTTAAAAAGCGATAATGAATAAGTGATTTCAACAAACTTAGAAAATGGCTCTGAACATGAAAGTTGTTTCATTGGCTTTTGTTTTGTTTTGTTTTGTTTTGTTTTTATGTGATGACCTTTTGTATTCTCTGGGAGATTCATCAACTTGTTTCCAGCATTTCAATTTCCAGGTACTTGCAACAAAGTAGACCAGTGTGGGAAAGAATTCTAAAACCTGCTTACACTGTTGTAAGAGCAGGACAGTGGTGCATTTTTTTGAAAAGTGAATTGTAAATAATTGCCTTTTGATTCAAATGGAATGCGCAAGTTAATCAGAGGTGGGTGACTGTTCATGCAAAGAATGGCTAATGTTATAGGTCAGTTTGACAAGGTTGGGACTCTCTGTGGTTTACTAAGACACTGTGTGATCACCTTTCCTTTCTTCATCTTGTGAGCAGCCAATCAGAAAGGGGCGTTCCCCCTGAGGGTGGTGCCTGTCTCCAAAATACGAATGGCTGTTCTGACAAAGCTCATGTTCTTTTCTGAACTTTCACTCATTCTTCTTGTCACCTGACACGCACACATTTAAAGACTGAGAAACTCAGTGGAGGGTCCCTTTGAGTCAGAATGTATTCAATGGCAATGGGTGTTTTGGTTTGTCATGCTTTGTTTTGTTTAGTAGCTCTCTCTGTGGGAGAAAACCCTGACAGTCTAGGAAGTTTACAGCCTAATAATAAATATTCTCTTTCTATATAAGGGAGCTCTGGCAGCCTAGTAGTAAAAAAAAGCTGCACTGCAATCCCCAAGGCACATGGTTCAAATCCAACAGCTGCTACATGGGAGGAGAGCACTCTCCTCCTGTGAGATCTACTGCCTCTGAAAACTGGGAGGGTCAGCTATGGGTTGGTTCTGACTCTTAACAACTCAAAATACAGATTATATATATTACGGAAGCTATATAATGCTTCCTTGTTGTTACTGTTAAGTGTCGTCCAGTTGTAGATGACTCATAGTGACCCTATGAATGAAAGACCCGAACACTTATAACTTTTGTCATTTCCAGAGGCAAGCTATTTCGGAAGTAGATGCCACTGATGTTTCCAAACTAGTTTTAATTGGGAAGCTCCACCAAACACCATTTGTAACCATGATGGTTACCATCATGGGTTACCATTATTGCATCTGACACATCAGTGTCACAGCGTTTAGCATCACAGCAACCACAAGTTACCTCTGTACGGCAAAAACAAACAGATAGTTTAGGAGTGGAATGCAGCACTTTTTAATCCCATCAAAGTACTGATCTGATCCTATGTGAAGAGAGTTTCCTGTGGTAAGGCCTGTAACACTTTGGGTCTTACAAGAGATAAAAGGGAAAGAAAATGAGCTGAGAGTTGGGAACTCGGTAAAATCGAACAAGGCTCAGCAGAAACAGAGTGTGTCTGCTGGTCCTCAGGTCCCTGCACTGAGACTCCTCAGCAGAGGTGAAGGCCAGGGTGTAAAGAGATTTGCAAGAAACACCATGCTTCCAAATATTAAAGAAAATGAGGAACAGCCAGAGAACAGCTTGTCCTAGCACCAACACCTTGACTTGGAACTTTTCAGTCCCCTAAAATGTGAGAAAATTTCTGTTTGTTAGTAATCTACTTGTGACATCTTTGTTACAGCAGGACTGGAGAACTAAGATGAAGTAAATTTGGAGGAGGGAGTGGAGAACAAAGTAAATGAGACGCTGCTTAGTTAAATGTATCGTGATCAACACAAGCATTGTTGGCGCTCTCTTCTGTCTCCTGGATTAACTTTTTAAAGGAACAAGTGAGATTGGGAACCACAAAAAGCAAGTGTTAGACATTCAACTCTTCCAGTGTTCCTGCCATCCATCATACTGTGAGCAAAGTAAAAAGGACCTTATAACCTCCTACTTCACACTGTCAGTGGGAGAATAGCCCCTGGTATAAATAATCTGGAAAGATAAATAAAACAGCAATGCAACAGTTTTTCAAGAACCAAGAAGCTGACCTCTGTCCAGCTTGATCCACAATGTGTTCCTTTTCTCCTCATTTTTTTTTCCCAGTACAATTTCAGTTTAAAGTACAGAATCAAACTGTGCAATGCAAATTCACACCACCTCGGCGAAATAGCAGAGCCCTCCGCTGGGAAGGCAAGAAGAACCAGGTTGTATATATACATGAAAATTGTTCAACGCGCCGTCACTCCCCTGAGTGTTCTGGAGCTCGACTCAGGTCAGAGCTCCTAGAGAAACGCAGGCCTCAGATGACGGGCTGAGGCAGAAACAAAGATTCATAAAAGCGGGCACAGACAGTTGTGGTACTCACCTCCCTGCCTCAAATGTGAACCACGTGGCATCACGTCCATACCGCCGCAGGGCGCTTAGCGGCCAAGAGATGAGTTTGACTCTGGGATTCTGGATGTCCCAAAGACAGATATGCTCATATGTAATCTGCAAGGCACATTCGCCATGTACATCTAAGTTAGGAGATGGCATCAAATACACATTGAATCTCTCTGGGAGAAAAACAAAAGGTTAGTCTAAAATCCCCAGGAATAACAACACATCACAGACACTGTAGGAAAACAGAGTCATTTAAAAACAATTCAAGACCACATGCTCCTCTCTAGGCGTGGGGTGGGTGCGTGTGTTGGGGGGGGGACACACACAGGAACCTAAACCTTCCTCATCAATTACCAGAAAACAAGTTGTGAAATGCAGCCCACATGAAATGATGCAAAAAAAAAAAAAAAAAAAAAGGGCACATCTGGCTGCCATAAGCACTAAGTGATATTTGTACAAAGACAATTTTTAGAAATTTTTAATGTGCATAAGGAAAAAAAATTTGTATGTCAATAAAAGACGAAAGCAGTCGAGCCATTAAAAGCATTTTTTTCCTTCTGCCAAGTACAAGTTAATTACACCACACTTTGCATTCATAAAAGACACAGGTGCAAACTAATAATCTCACAGTTTAGTGATATTTAAGTTATATTGATCAACTTATAATTATCAAAACTGAATAAAAGTTAGATTCCAAATTACTTAAATAAGACTTCATGCTATTATGCACTTAAATGGCCAACCACTTGGGAAAAATGCCAATGGATATATTTCAACTAGTTTTAACAAAGAACTATTATTAGTCAAACATGAGGAAGAAATCTTCATTTGCTCATTTTAATGTTTGTTAAAAGTTAACTAAGATTGCCTTAAATAAACTACTTGGCTGATTAGCAAATATTCATATCCAAAGAAACATTATGATATTTGTTACATTTTTTAAAAAAATACTGTAAGAAGTTAGAGAGTTAAACATCTTTAAGAGGAAAAAGAAATAAAAAGTTATTATAATCTACTCATTAGCAAGCTAAAGGTATCTAACAAAATACTATTGTAGGAAGATGTAATATTAGTGATATTCTAAATTAAATGTTTTCATAGCAAGATAATTGTATCAACATTTTGAAAGAGTTCAGTTGGGTATATAAGTAGGGTATGAAGATTGTGCTTATGTAATGCGTTCATGAACCTCCTAATTTGAATTTTCAGAATGACTCTAAAATTTAAAAAAACAAAATATTTGTTGCTCTCTTATAACTATTAGTGTGAAAATATACTTCCAATGGAATGAATTTCTGAATAACAAAGATTGTCTTCACTAAGAATAAAAAGAAGTTTACCAGCAGTTTTGCTTTAAATAGCAGTAATAATGGTGGCAGCAATGATTATTCTAATCACAATTACTTAAAGATACGCAGAGAAATATATGTTAATTGTGCCTTAAAAAATAGTTCCATAATACTCATTAGTGGTCATATTTGGCCTCTGAAGACCCCTGGACAGTCAGCAGTGAGTCGGCTTTGACTCGGCAGCATACAACAACAGTCGTATATTCCTCAACGTTTTGATTCTCATTTGCCAAAAGAGGAAACTCAGGTATAGAAAGTGGACATGGCGACGCTATTTCATAGACACTACCATCTCCTGGATTCTGTTTGCAGCATGAGTAGGATCCTGTCTCACAAACAAAAGTTGTGGAAATAAAAGCTGATCTGAACACTCGAGCAAGAACTAAATAAATAAATAAAATTTAAACCTGTCCTGGTTTCTCTTTATTTGGGGCTTTATTGCTACTTGAACATGAACATTATGGGTGCGACCTTAAGGCCCAGGGACACCTTGATGTTGGAGGAGCTGAGAGTGAGGTCATATGACCTTGAGTAAATGACTTAGCCTCTCTGTAGCTCAATTTCACAGTCTACAAAGAGCCTCTCTGAATTAGCCAGCACTTCTAGGTCACAGTCAATAATAACCTCTCCAGGGAGATGGATTATGGCCAATATGGTGCATCCAAATAGCCATAGGCTATAAAAGTGTCATGAAGACATAGTTCCAATGGGGAGGGAGAGTATTTTTTTTTTATTTTTTACTAACAATTGGTGTGTGTTCTGAAGGAAGGGTCAGGGCAATTCCACCCCTGCCATGTCTGTAATCCAGCCAGATGACCCCACAGCCCCTTCAGCCGTGGTGTGTCCTCATTGGTCACATCGAGTGAAGCTCGACTCAGAGATCCACCTGCCGCCTTATGAGGCTCAGCTGTTTACAGAGAGAGATGCCTCACCTGCATCAGGTGTTCCTACTGTAAACCAACATCAGTGTGTTCATGAATGTTCCTGAATATTTTTGTCATTGTTACTGAGGCTTATTCTCAGGTGGAGGGCTTAGCTCAAAGTGTTGGCTCAAGTGTTTGATGAAAAAAAATTAATAAAAAGAAATCTCAAATTTAAGTGTGTTTAGGCAAGAGGAACAATCCTAAAGTTTAGATTTAACTCAAAAAGCATTGGAGAGCTTTCAATAAAATTTTAAATGAAAAGGCAAGAAAAAAAGAAATCCATTTACTGTTGAGTAATGGAGGTTTTCATTCTAGTGGAGACTAAATTTCTGGATTCCAAGGACGCTGAGGTGACCCATCATCCGTGCCACCACCCTGAAGTGACCTTTGGGCCTCGAGACAACTGATTTCTTTAAAAGTCACATGAAACAAGAAGTCTAGCCTTGGACATGGTGAGCTTTTCTAGAACAATCTATGTACGATTTTGACAATAGCAATTCCAAAGATCAATCTAGAAGCTATTTTCTGGGGTAAACTGTTACTGTGTAAACAATACTCCGGCTCTTTCCGTGACAATGCATACTAAACTGGAGTATAAGGTTCTGCAAAAAAAAAAAAAAAAATGGTCTTTCCTTGAAGTATTTCTGACTTCCTAGGCAGATATGTTACCCTGATGTGCAAATCATATATTAAATAAATATCGATCAATTTCTCCTTACATTACAAAAACATGGTTTTTGTTTTACATTTTTAAAATCCTCATATCAAAAATACTGGGCCGGACCGCTGTGTGAAAAGAATGACTATCTAGTTATTGTAACACAAGTAAAGTTTTTATCTCCTTCTGCTTTCAGTTTCCCCATCTGTAAAGTGACATATTATATGATAGGGCTACTGAGAAAATGCCAGAATCTAGCAGAATATTGCAGTGCAATACCTGACACACAGCAGGCTCCCTGAAAGTCTACCAGATATCAATAATGTAGATCTAGACTTAAATCTATCTTTCTATCATCTATCTATCTATCTATCTATCTC